TTTTTCCCCCTTTTTAAGATTTTCCACGCAGTTTTATAAAAAAAAAGAAAAAATAATAATAATTTACGACGGTTTTTTTTTTTTCTTTCTCCAGTCGAGTGTTGGTTGAGCTCCATAAAAAAAAACCTGAATAAGCAATTTTCTAATGGAAAAAATTTTTCACTTCAATGATCGTTATAATAATAATAATAATAATAATAAAATAACATTAAATAATTTTCACGTCATTAAATTTAATAAATCGAATAAAAATAAATAATATTATTATTATTATTATTAAAAAAAAGTATAAATAAAATCTTATGCCACGCGTTTCTTTTTTCTTTCACTCGACTACTCGTATTTTTCAAAGAGAATTTAAAATAATAATAATAATAATAATAAATAAATGTTGTTTGTTTCGTTTGTTTCGTTTGTTTGTTTGTTTAATAATTTTTTATTAAATGGTTTTACGGGTAAATTAAAATACAAGAAGAAGAAAAAGAAGAAGAAAAATTTTAATTTTTTTTTTAATTTATTTTTTGTCAACGTTTTAAAAATAACCGTGAAAAAATAATAATAATAATTTTTGTATAAATTTTATCCAAAACGACTGGATAATTATCGTAAAATAGGGAAACAGGATAAAAATATCCTGGAATTGAGACATTAATAAAAAAAGGAAAAGGAATGTGAAATTTTTTTTTTTTTTAAATGCCATCGTCGTCTCCTCAAGAAAAATCTTTTTCCTTTTTTGTCATTATTATTATTATTATTATTAAACAATAACCGTTTAAATTAATAAATAATTTAATTAATAATAATAATAATGATAATAAATTTATTTATTTATAGATAAAGCCATATCAGAATGTAAATGATAGGTAAAAGAAATGAAAAAATCTATTTTTATATATACACGTATAATCTTTTTAAAAAAAAAAAAAATGTCGTCTCGACGAGGGGAAAAAAAAAAACGACGACGACGACAGTATATAATGAGTCTGCCAAATGAATAAAACGTTAGTGCCACGATGTAGATCGGCGTCGTTATTATTATTATTATTATTATTATTATTATTATAACTAAATTTTTTTTTTTTTTTGTATTTATTATAAAGAAAAAAAAAATTCGATTGTTTTTTTTTTTTTAAATTAATTATTTAATTTTACTCACGCGTAATTTTTTTTTCTATATATAATAATAATAGTAATATCGTTATTATTTAACAGAGCAAATTTATTATTATTATTATTATTTGACGCGCGAATACACAACAAAGAAAAAGAAGAAGAATACGAACCGACGCCAATTATTATTACTAATACACCCAGGTAAGTCGTCATCATTTTTATTTTTATTTTTATTTGTTTTATTGAAAAATGAGAAAGAGAGAGAGAAAAAGAGAAAGAGAGAGAGTGTGTGCGTGTGCGTGTGCGTGCGGGGGTAAAAGTAAAAGGAACGTAAAAAAAAATAACAAACGGAAATTTTTTTTTTTTTTTAATAATTATTTGTTTTTTAATTTTTCTTTTCTTTTTTCTTTCGCTTCGTTTTTCTCTTTTCTCTTATTTACCCTACCTACCTCCCCTATCACCTCCCCCTACTCCCCACCGCCATACACGTGGTAACAAATCGGTAAGAAAAGTTAAAAAAAGTTTCTTTTTACACGTTTTTTTTTTTTTTTTAATGATTTTTCAAGCGAAACTCTCGTAAAATTTTATTTATTTATTATTATCATATCAAATTGTAATAATTTATTACGATCGTGAATATACATAATTTAAATTAAAAAGAAATTAAAATCAACGCGATGATAATAATGATAATGATTCGTAATATTAATAATAATAATAAATAAGTGTATTATATTTTTTAAATATTACTTCCGGCTGAAAACTCGTAAACGAAAATTTTTATACGACGACTACGACTTTTAATTATCATTAATAAAAATAATTTTATAGAAATTAGTTTTTTCCCCCCCTTTCTTTCTACCTCTTCCCTCTTCCTTCTCCCCAGCTCAAGGGGGAGAAGGGGAGGGTGCGGGAAATTGCCATCGTTACGTAATTTTCGCAAGGAAAAACGTACGCACACAAACGGGAAGTTAAAAATCAACGTAATAAAAATCAGAAGAAGAAAATTTATTTACAAAGAATCAATAAATTTATTAATTTATTTATTTTTCATTCATTCATTCATTCACTCATTCATTTATTCATTCATTCGATGAATTTTTTTTTTTTTTCAATACAAAATTATTAATCGTAAAAAAAAATAGAAAAAGAAAACATGACGATAAAGTGCTTACAAACGTTAACTTTATGCGAAATCACGTGTCACTAAAAAAAAAAGTAGTTGTAATAATAATAATAATAATAATAATAGTAAACAATCAGAAATGAAATGCATAGAAATTTCCAGAACGTTCGAATCGAGAATATAAAAAGAAAGAAGGAAAAAAAAATGTTGAAACGCGACACCGAATTTTTTTTTTTTCGAAATTTATAAATAAAAATAGTTTTCGAAAAAATTTGTCATTCAAAATGGAGAAGAAAAAAGAATTCCCCTTCCCCCCTCAAAAAGGTGAAAGATCAAATATTTCAAAGCTTTAACATCCTCTTCCCCCCCTCATTTTCTTTCTAAAAATAAATTAGACCCCCCAATGAAGGACGTCTACAACGACGGAATTAAAAAAAAAAAATAAAAACCTCCAGGAATTCCGACGGGATTTTTTTTAATTCCCTTTTTTCACCTCTTCCCTTTAATTACGCCTATAAAAAAATCGATACTCGATCGATATATCGATATATACTCGAATAATAATCGTTTGTTCGAGTTCGAGTTTATATATTTGTTCGAGTCCGTAATATAAATTTTCAAAAATCAATTAATGGATCCTACCGATTGTTCCCATCTCTCTCTCTCTCTCTCTCTCTCTCTCTCTCTCTCTCTCTTTCCGTTAAATAGCAGACGACGATGATTGTAATGATGACGTCACAACGGTAAATTAATTTCTACTAAAACCTTTTTTCTAAAAAAAAAATCCTTTTTTTTAAGATGAAGAAGAAAAATTTTTTAAATTAACAAAATGGCGGCGGATCCGTTGTGTTGTTGTTGTTGAGGTTTTATATTTACCTTTAACTTATATATATATTTAAAACATAAAATTTTATATTTAAAGTTATTTTGTTGTTAAGTTAATTTTATTTTTTCATCTCTCTCTCTTTTTCTCAAGGCTTTCGGAAAAAGAAAGGAAAAAATATGAGAGAGAGAAAGAGATAAAAGAAAGTTTCTGTTTTCTTTTGTTTACTTTTTAACTTTATTTTATTATAACTTTGATTTTATATAAAATATCAAATAATTTATTAAAACGAAAACTTTATGTAAACCATTAAAGTAAAAAAAAACTTTTTTTTTTTTTTTTTTAAAAATAATTTACTTGAAACGGAAAGAGAATTATTTAATTTAATACCAACAGGAAGTTTAAACTAAACTAAATATCATATATACTATTTTTATGTTGGCATGCGTTATACTGGAACATTTCCCCCTTCGTTATCCAGGTGATTATTAACGGAAATACGTCATCGATTTATAATTTTTTATTTTATTTTTAAATCCAGACGTAAAAATTACGCGTGCGTTCGTTCGTTCGTTCGTTAGATTAAAAAAATAGATAGAATTTAACTGTTTGGGGGGAGGGGGATGGGATATTCGTTGCCAAATATTTTAAATCATTCTTCCCGTTTTTTGTCTCGCATACTTCCCGTTTTTATCGTCTGGTTTCCGTTCGTCGGAAATAATCAAAATCCAAAAATTTTTTCTTTTTGTCACCGGTCATTTAAATTAACGTAATTTGTCATTTAACCCTTTGCTTTTTTTTTTTTTAATATGACGGATACATAAATCAAACCGGAAGTTAATAAAAGTTCAAACGAATTTGGGTTTCTCGTTCGTTATCGAAATCGTAAAAACTTTTTTTTTTTTATTACTTTTAAAAGTTGTTTTCGTACCTGAAAGGTTATTTTCACATTTTAATTTTCTTTTTTTATTTTGCCCTTTACTTTCCAATTTTTTATCAATAGAGGTTACGTTCATGTCGAACTAAAAAAAACGACAAATCACCAATCGATTGTTAATCGATTAATTTTTTATAGCACGCTCAAACTCTATTTATACGTACGCTAATTATAGAGCGCTATAAAAAAAAATTTTACTTTTATTTTAATCCACACGGATGGATTTTATTTTTAACTGCGTGCGTCACATCCGTTTTGTAATAATAATAGGAAATATAGAGTGCGCTGAAGTGCAACGATTGTTTATTTGTCATACGTTTTTACATCATCGTGTCAACTCATTTAATTAATTTTTTTTTATGGTTTTTTTTTAAAATTTATTTATAAATTATATATCAAAAGTTTTGTTATAAAGTCTAGTTTATTGTGATGTAATTAGTTTTTTATATTATTCAGTTATAATTATATTATTTTAAGTTTTTAATTTTGCAAATAATCAACGGTTTAACATGTGACAAAAGGAAGCGTGGGTAAAAAAA